CGTTTATTTATGGATGATCTTTAAATTTCCCACAGGGTATATATTTATTTCCTTAAATACCTTTTTAATGACGCATACAACAATTTATTCACTGGCTTATTTGTGAAGAGCATAAATATTTTACGCCAACTTAATTATGGTGCTGTGAATAAAATTTTATGTATCGTTTTTGTTTTCTAAATTTGTAATTTAAAACTTACTAGCATATTAGCATTGCATCTTCGCGCTTATTTACTTAAATTTCCTTGAACAAATAAATTGAAAACAATAAGGAAATTTTTAGTTATGCTGCAACAAGTTGCTACCACAGCCGCACGTCAAGCACTTACCAAAATATGGATATTTAACGATTTTTTTTATCAATACAGTCATATGAATATGTATTTGGATATTAGGTTCATAAGTACTTAAATACTATATTACATTCACATACACATATGTTTGTACTATATAACACATATCGGAAGTTTTTGAACCATAATTACTTAGGCAAAAATTAACGAGTTATGGCAATTAAAAATTCTTAGTTGTAAAAATTTAAAAAATTCATTTAAAAAAATTTAGTTCATATAATTACACATGCGCAAAGTCGTGGTTTTAAGTTTTATTTTTCAAAAATTCATCCAGACCTCCAAATGGCAGGCTAGGAAAAAGGCAAAACATGATTTATATGAAACAGTAGCTATGACCCAGCGTGCTTTGCTCCAGGTCGCCAGTAAATTCTTAAGATTGTCTTAACGTCATTAGAGTTCTGCTAGGACTAGTCACAATTATTTTTTTATGGTGGGTTAATTTTTCAACTTTTTGTCAAAAATACAATTTTTTTTTTCGTGTATTAAACGATTTTAAATATAATTCTTGCCCTAAACGACTTGTAGTAAAATTTAGTAACAAAATTTTCCTAGAACATTTTAACCCTTAAACGCCTACCGGTATGAGTCTTTTGTAAATAGTTTTGAAAAAGTGGTAGTTAGGGGGTTAAAATGCACAACAAGGGATGAAGAGTAAATAAATAATGTTTCATGAGAAATAATAGAACTTTTCAACAAAAAAATTCAATGGCCCCATTAGAAAAATGCCTGCCGGGATTTCACTATCACTAATATTAGCAAAATCGACAAAGTATAAAATTTCCATCCCATCGAGCGGTTGAGATTTTTTAGCTGAGAGTTTAATTGCCTCGTAAGCGTCCGACGTTCTGATTTTTTAGCCAAAATAACCCGTTAATTACATGTACTTCATATATTCCAAATACTTCTTTCAGACCCCTGAACCGTCTCTTGTTCGACCTTTTCCACATACCTCTCTAGCTCTTATGATAGGCAGGTATAACTTTTATTTTCGGAATATAGGTTCCTTGGAGTAATAGAAATATTATTGTGTACAAATTTTATGTAAATTCGGCAAAAATTTAGCATCTTAAGGCAAAAAATTGTTGAAAAAATTAGCAAATAATTATAAGCTGAACGCAGTATGAGGTACCGAATTAAAAGCCTTGGCCTATAAATGTGCAGTGCGTTTTATTGAAAAAGGTTGCCACCTGATAAATAATTAAATAAAAATTATTTATAAGTTAAATCAATTATTACAATATGGGTCTCAATCAAAATGGTTTTGAAAAGGCTGTTCAGTATATGTAGGAGGGTTGCCACCTATTTATAAAAATAAATTCAACTTATTAATAAAATAATATAAAAATTAGAATTAAAAGGGGGTTTAGTTTGAAATTATCTTAAAGAGGGTTGCCATCTGTTTACAAAGTTAAATTTAATATATGCAACATATTAAACGAATTACTACGACATGGATATCAATTGAAATGGCCTGAAGAAACTTTATTTATAAATTGCTTGTAGGAGCATTGCCAGCCGTTTACAAAATCAAGTTCAGACTTAAATTAGGGCGATTCGAAAACTGAAATACGAATCCCGCTATGAGCGTCAGTTCTTTACAAAGTTAAATTCAATGTAATGAATTATTTAAATATGGATATCAATCGAAACTGCTTTGAAGATATTTTATTTCTACACTACATGTAGGTGAGTTGCCACCTGTTCTAAATTTTATCTTGAATTAAGGGAATTAGATGATGTAAATATGCATCGCAATTCGGGTGTCAGACGTTTTAGTTTGAAAATAATTTGAATACGCTTGCCACCTGTTAACACATGTAGCAAAGTTGCCACCCCTTTTAAAATTTAAAAGCAACTTGAATTTAGGGAACTAGATAATTTAAATATGTACATTTGGGTGCCACACGAAAGGGGTTTAACAAGATTGTAGTTGTAAAATATTTTTTTGTTGAAAATATTTTAAATATTTAATATTTTGTCACCTTTAAAAAGGTGAATTTATTTAAATTATACAGAAGTTACTGTATGAAACATTAAAATATGGGTGTCAATCGCAGGAGTATTAGCTTAGGAGATATTTAGCTTAACACTAAGAATATTAAAAAGGGCTGTCACCTGTTTAAAAGATCGGTAGCACTTGAAATGGGTTCAAAATTCAATCGAATAACTTCAAAGCTAATTCACAGATTTTAACCTGAATATGCTCTTATTATTATCACGTATTCTGCGTTTTAGTTTAGCGGCTGTGACTCCGACACAGCCCGCAGGACTGACTGATCCTTTTTTAGTGGGTGGAAGATTGAGCTGTTTGTAAAGTAAGAAGTCTATATGTATTATAAAGTTGCAAATGATTCCAACCATAATAATTAATATCACTCAATTGTAAAAATATTTTTCCTCATTTATATTTAAATAGTATTTGACACGTCAATTGTAAAAAATTCCAACAACTCAATTTATCTCGCTTAGTAATTTAATGGTGCAGAATGCTGAAATTACACTAATGACTATTGTACACCAGGGCATAAGTCATTCCATTGAAATTCAATTATTTTCTGAAATATTTGTCACCTCATTCCAAATTTATTGCCAGATATGTAATAAAATTTAAATATATATTTGGTAAGCAAACAAATTCCTTCATTAACAACATTGTTGTAATTAAAATTTGCTGCATTAACCCATGCAGTAAGTACTGTGTCTGTGTCTAACATTTCAATAAGCTTGAAGAAGTGAATGTAAAAATATAAAAACAATTGAAGCATACGAAATTTTGTAGGGTAAGCACTAGGGTGGTCCAACTAGGCATGTAAAAAAAGTAAACTCCGAATTTTAACTCTATCACAACTTGTTCTATATCGAAAAATATGCCCTTGCTTTTTTTTGTTTTCTAAATCAAAAAATATTTAGGGGTCGCTCACAGCGCTAACATTTTCGTGTAATTATATTGAAAACAAAATCGAGAAAATCAATATTTTTCGATCGGCAAACTCTGTTTCTCTTCACGACACTTCTAGTAACAATAACCAATTAACTATTTTACAATTTTTTAAGGGTCCCATTTTTGGGGTTTTTGGGGTACACATAAAAAAATTTATGTATGTTAACAAATGATTATATAAAGAATTTGGTATTATTACTGGTAGTCGCCTGAAGCGAAACAGAGTTTTTCGAATGAAACGGGCAAAATATATGTCAATTTAATAAATTTTGACCTTTTAATTTCAAATAAATTTTACAAAAATATTTTACATTAAAAATTAGGTAGCAATGCTATTTAAAACTATGCCAGGATGGAGAGATTTTGTATTACAAAAAACGTGGCAACCCTCATGGAAGATATTATTGAATTTATATTCTCAAAAATACCTTTCATTTGATATGCATATTAAATTATTTTAGTAAAATTTTGTAAAATCGAAAATAAGTGGCAACATTGCACTTATGTATATCCTAAGTGATAGCACTTACTATAAAGGCAAATAATTATTTAAGAGCTATCTTTTAGTACCCATAAATAGTAATATTGTATCTTAATGTTCTAAATAAAAAATTTAATAAATATACACCGGAAAATAGGTGGCAACCTTATTGAAAAGTATTTCTGAATATTTAGTTATTTTTTTTGCGATGAAGAAAGGGTTTAAATTTCCTTCGCGCCATATAGCACGTGTGTGGTGTAGCCACTAAAGCAATCCCTCCTAATACCCTGGATATTCTCCAACTCTGGAACCACTTTCGCATTACTTCGGGATAGGAAATCCAAGAGGGAGCCATGTTGGGTCAGATTCAACTCGCCCTGCGCCCGGGGCCGCCACATTTGAAGCCAACATCAAGCTATTGGCTCGTTTTCTCTTTTCCTAGTTGAGAGTACCGCTTTCTACCTTAACCGCCACTGTAAGTTGTGATCGTTTTGGGTTCTTCTGCTTTCAATCTCCTCATTGTCCATTTGATAACGGAGATAACGGGCAATACAGATAACCTGTAGCTGGTTTTGCGTCGCTCAGCGCGCTTGGGACATTTGACGTGAAAGTACATTTGACGTGTAAAGTAATAAAAATAAGCGACACAATTTCACGCAAAGAACCCCAAAAAAAATCTCCCCTGAATAACTTCTTTAAAAGCCCATTGTGACCGAAATTCATTTTTTTTTGTAATTCATTTGGCTTATTAAATAATTTAAACTTTACTTTATAAAGAGGTGGCAACCCTCCTAAATATTGTACAGAAATAAAGCCTTTTCAACCCCATTTTGGTTGATAAACCTCCTTTAGTAATTCATTTGACTATTAAATGATCTGATTCAATTTTTTAACAGGTGGCAACTGCATTCGAAAAAACCTCATGGCACAGCAACAGGCCAAGCCCTTTTATTTGCGTTCTACAAAACCTTATGTATAATTTTTCGTAATTTTAATTACCTTTGAAGAATGCATTTTTTTATTTTTAAATATCGTTTGCGCCTGCACTTAAACTTGTTTCAATTCTTTTATCAACATTTTGGTAATCCTTGTAGACTTTCAGCACTTATCCACCAGAAATTTAATGGATAAAATTGATAAAGCACAAATGTCAATTGAATCATAAAACTAATAGTTATTTTTACAATCTACTTATAGGTGGGTTTGTATACACACATATCTAAAAATGTGTAAGTAGTGCTTTGTAAAAGTTATGGATTTGGTTTTTTTTTTATGCATTCAATGTACTTTTTTATTTGCCACTTATATATTTAATGCTCGTTCTGGCTATCTGCTTTATTCATTGCATTGAAATGTGCGATTTAATAATTTATTATTTTTTATTTTATTATTACTTTCGGTTTTTTCCTCACCTCATTCATGTGTGTAAACATACATATGTATGTATGAATTTGTTGAAAACATTTTCTGTTGTTAGACATATGTATGTATGTATACTTCTTTGATCGTACCTAATATACCTAAATTTTTGCGCTTCATATGCTTATAATTGCTTACCATGATTTCGTTTCGCTTCTTGTAAGTTTTTTGCTACTTTCGGTTTTGTTTCGTTTTTTTGTTGCGCACCCATGCGAACCTTTAACAAGCCTTTATTTAATATTCGCAGCAGTTACCATCGTTGCGCTGAAGCAGCTAAACATCAGCTATTTAACTATGGCAGTTAAGCGCTGTGAAGCTTAAAAAGTTCTGCCATAAAAATTATAAATAACAATAATAATAGCATAAGGATTATGCTTAAATACATAGCTATGTATGTATGTATGTGTGGGAGTATATATGTATATACATAAGTACTAGTGCGCCATTAAATTAGCTGCATTATTTGCTTTTCAAACTTTGCTTAGTGCAATCGCAATCGCTTAGCAATTGTTCTGTAGTCGGCATTTTTCTTTAGTTGCACTTTAAAGGCGCACCCATCTTGAGGTTGTTGTTCTTTTTTGAAAACCACCAACAACAACAACAACAACGAAAACAACTACACGAAAAAGCTGCATTCTTCTGTCTGTTTGCAACATCAACAAACAACTAAAAGCGAGAACAACTACAGCCTTTGGCATAAAATAAAGGTCAGTCGGTAGTAGTCAGGTTCATCGATTATTTGGCAGTGGCGTGCAGGAGGACTGGTTTGTTTTTATGGTGCAGCATGTAAAATGTTAGTTGACTGACATTAAACTCGAAAGACTTAAGATGCAAACTTGCCACGGCTTAGAGCAGCTCACTGACAGCAAATGCTTATGCGGCTTGATGTACAAATTGGAAAGTGTTTTTTGCAAAATTTGTGTGTGGTTGTTTGCTGCCGTTATATGTATGTATACAGACAACATAATTTTAGTTTTATTGCTTGCGATTTTTAGTTGATGTGCAACTGCGAGTGAGTATTTTTTTAATGCGCGTGCAGTTTCAGGCGCAGGAAAAAAAACTACAACAACAATTGCAAAAGAAAAGCTAGAAAATGCAAAAATGCACCCGTCACTCTAGCTAAGCGTAAGTGTTTGCTGTTAGCCATTTTCATCAGTCAATGTCAAGGATTTAATGTTGGCCAACATGTTTGTATGTACATAATGTATGTATGTATGTATGTAGCTCGTCAAGCGGTGTTAGCACAAGCTATTGACCGTGTGTAGGCTGCGAGTAGCTAAAACAAAAAAAAGCGGATTCAGTTTTTTGGTGCCTTTTGTTTACTTGCCTTACGGTTTGTTTGTATAATTTTTAGATCTTGTTTTTTTTTTCTTTTTTTTTGCTTTGACACTCACATCAGTGCTTTCTAAGCTTTGTCATGTTGATTCTGCGTGAAAGCAAAATCAAATTCATTTATAAATTTACACACAATTTCCATAACTGCAACTTTTACATAAAAGTGATAGTTCCACATTTTTATACAAAATGCAAACATAAAAGTTTGGCAGCTAACAGCCTTTCTCTGTGGTTTTATTATGGTTAGAGCTTGTCAATGATTGACAATTAACTGTCTATAAAATAATGGAGTAGTTACGGAAATAAAATCGATTTACATAATATTTGTTTAAGCTTTTTAATTTTTTTGTAAGACTTCAATCGAAATGCAGAAAAATATCACAAGACCCACCGCCTCAGTGGCGTCAGTTATAATAACAGTTCAACTCATTAAACTTAGTCAGTTGTTGAATTAAATTTGTTAAACAAACGAGCTCAACCCAACCCAAAAATGAATCACACTCTGCGTGGCCTCGCCCTGTACTGCCCAATATGTGGTATTCTACATAAGAGACTATTTTAATTAGTAATATTTTGTTTCTTAAGTGGTTCAAACATTTAAATTAAAAAAACTTAAAAAAGTCTTTTTTGGATTATATGTATGTATGTCTGATTTCGTTTTCTTTTGTTTAAAAATTAAAATTGTTTTAATAAAAGAATTAACATTCTACATACATATGTTTGTGCATTAGGGTGCATCATCCCCCATACAAGAAAACGGAATACTGTTAATTCTCATCGGAATTATATATATAAAAATAAAAAATAAAAAAAATCAACGGAATAAAAATAACTAGGAGTGCCGGTTGCTGTCGAAAGTCGACTGTTCTAGTTCTAGCTTTCGCTAACTTGACAAATTTCGATAATTCCATAAATTATCATAGCTCGAAACTATCCGTAAATTTCAACAACTAATTTTCTGTGTTTATGAATTTCGATAACTCAATAAACATTGATCAATTTTAAATGACGATTTAAGACGTTATTTTCAACCCATTTTGAAACCATAAAAGCTTTCCTCATCTGCGGAAAAGTACCTTTCCAATGGTGTTCAAAAATCGGTTCGGTTAATTCGGCAAAAGAATGGTGACAAAGTTTATGTTAGCTTATTAATATGTAGATGAGATTTTTACAGGTATTTGCAAATCAGTCCAGCTCAAATAAATTCATATATTTTTTGAAGTCTTTTGGTGAAAGCCCTAAAGTGTTAAAGATTTTATAACTCCGGTGAAAGGGCGGTGTAATTTGTTTGGAGAAAAATGTTCGAAGAAAGTTTATAGCAGATTCAAATTCTATGATTAATTCTCAGGAAAAATGGCAAATAAACTATATGTCCAAAATAACGCTTGAACCTTCCAATTTTCAAAAGAAAAAGCAGTATATTGTAACTTTTTTGGTCGAAATTTGTTTTTCATTGTACCAAAAAATTTTCTTGGTTTTGTGAAGTGTTTTCTTAAATATGAAGAAAACACAAAATTTTGTAAATTAAAAATTAATTTCGTTCAGAAAAAATTATAATACATTTATTTTTCTTTTAAAAATTGGGAGGTTCAAACGCTATCTTTGGTATATTGTTTATTTATATTTGGTATATAGTTTATTCCAGGGACCGAAAATTACAGTTATTTTTTAGCAGTCGAACTTGGCTATTTCAGTTTTAAAGCTACTTTAATCCTCTTTCATTTGATACCAAACTTGAACAGAAGTTGAATTGGGATTCGAGAAAATTTCTTAACCAGGTTTTCAAGTTAATTTAAAAAAAAAAATGTACAAGAAGCTCTAAACCAGTGATGCGCAGAGTGCTCTAAACTACTGATGATCACTTCCTTGTCCGCTTAAGTGTGATAGCATAAATAAATTTCGAAACAAATAAAAAGGATTAGTATTAGAAATTTCTATTCAAATTTTTAACTGGCAATTAACCGAACTTTTAAACTTCTTCTTCTTCTTTCAGATCAAACACCCGCTGCTTCACTTTATTCACCACGCATTACCAGCTCATCACCACTGGAGTCACCTTTCTTCTCCGCCGCGCATGGCGTAGTTCAAACACATCCCGCGCTGGGCAACAGCAATTCGTTACCGTTAAATGGCAATAGTTTGGGTAGTGGCGGTGTGTCGAGTACGCTCAGCGTTGGCAGTGGTTACCTGAATTCTCGTGGCAATTTGCCAAAATTCAATACACAACGCTACCCACAAATTGCGAATACCGTAGTCGATCCGAATCCACAGTCGCCATTCCGTCATTTAGATTTCTCCACCAGTGCCACCGCCGAACTGAGGCGTAATCCAACATTATCGGCGCCAGATGAGTGTGCGCGCGCCTGCCGTGAAGGTGAACCGCCACGTATTTGCTACTATCACTTCACCATGGAATACTACACTGTACTGGGCGCGTAAGTAAACATAGAATTATTCTGAATACTTATTGTTTAAGAATTACTTGGCTTGATTTTTTTCTGTATCCTAATACGCGAGGAATCCCAGTATGTTCCCAGCAGATATTTTGCCTTTTTTTCATTTATCACTATACTACATTTTTTGCCTCCTCAGGAAAATGCTATACTGGCGACCCTCAAATTGAAGATCTCACACGTGGACATTCGCCTTGCCTAAAAAACTAAGTCCTTCCCCATTTGACATAGCCATATTATTTTTTCAGGGTAATCATATTCAGACATGGTGTGGTAGAATCGACTTTTCTTCATACTATAAGTAACGTCTTTAAAATCGACGAAAATGTGATGCGTGCAGATTTGCTTGTCCAAAGCCTTCAAGAAAAGGGGAACTTTGGTTCGCGAAATACTTCATACTTTCGCACAGTAACAGCAGGAGGTCCCCGCTTGTTGGTTAGGAAATTTCGCTTAGAAGCTAGTACTTTGCACCTTAATAGCTTGTTTTCACCGATTATGAACTACTCAGCCGGTATTCCGTTATTTCCGGTGAGTTTGCTATTTTTAAGCAGCTCTTTGACTATTCTCACCACGTCTTGATCGAATGGATAAAAGTGTATGTTGGTATGAGTTCATCTTCGTCAAACAAGCCATCCATGTCGCTATTCCAAAGTGTTACCCTCCATAACTCCAGCGAACTCTGGAAGTTTTATTCTAGATATCGATTTCATCTCTGTAAGAGGCAGGCCAGGACTTCCAACCATTTGCGTTGTGTCTTATTTACCTCATTCCACCACTCTTTTCTTTTTCGTATCCTTTTCCCTCCTCTCCTCTCATTATTGCACAATTATTGTTGGCAATAAGGGCAGGACTTTCTTTTTTTAATTTTAAAATCGACTCCTCTACCCCGTTCGCTAGACACACGGATAACACTTACTCTAAGCAGACACTCTCCTGTGATTTTGGACAGCTTCTATCTAAAGTACTCTCGAATTACTAATCATTATTCCCATACAGCACCTAATATAAAAATTTATTTTTACTGGGCATTTTTTGTAATTCTAGAGATGATTTGTATATATTTGGAAGACACACATACCTAGCGTCCTGATAGTTTATATTTGTCTGTCTGCCAATTACCAGAACTTGCCCTGGTTGTCACAAGGAAATCACTGTCAGGAATATCTAGCCAGGAGTAGGGTCTGTTGTCTATTTGTGGAGTGCACCTTGATGTTGTCCCGCAAAGGGGTAGGTAGGACCTACAGTTTTACGTCGACTCTGAGCGCCTATTTTATTTATATGAGAAGCTGTTTTTCAGAGCAGAATACACTCAGAGGTTGGCCATGGCCTGCCTAGAAGTGATTACCTCTGAATAATTTTTGTAGGCTTATCCAGATTATATTAGTTGAGAATATTATTAAGAAAATCTATGAAGCGAATCTATGAAGATTATCTGTAGAAGGCATTACCATGCTAGAGCCTGTTTTGGCACTGTCGAGAAAATCTCATTTACGGAAATCTAGCCAGTATCTGGACGGAATAAGGGCTGTGTCTAGAGTCTTTCCGGTCGGGTAGCTATTTTAGGATTTATGTAGAATTGTAGGTTTTCGTTAAAAAAAAAAAACACTTTGGCTACAATTGTTGCCAAACGGCAATGCTGGTCACACACACAGTTGCTCTCAGCTCGATTGGCGCAATCTTGTATCATTCTTGCATACAGCCATACAGTCATGGATTTATTGATTACTGAAAACGTAATATAAGTATAAGTGCTATGATATTTCTTCTTTTTTTTTTTTGATTTCCTAATGATGGAATTCCAAATAAAAATATCATCAAAAAATACAAATTCTCGTGCCTTGATTTTTTTGCATATGCAATCATAATTGCTTACTTAAATATAAATGACGCTAAAAACGTTGCACAATCTATGCAAACAATCAAATCAACGGCACCATTTTCATAATGATTTTCACATAAATTACTGAGGCAACAACAAATTTCGAATCGTTGTCACAATATTGATGAATACTCGCCATACCGCGGGAATTACACGAATACACAAAGCGAAGAAATTGCAATTGACATAACTGACGACGCAGCAGACAAAGGCAATATAAACCATAGTTAGACAGCAACGAAAACTATTCAAATGTTGAATGTGCATACAGATTTTCTACATAGTTATACTCAAAGATGTTTTTGCTCTTTTTTATATCACTCCTAAGCATAACTACTTAAAAAGTTTGTATACAGAATAGTGTGCACGTCTACTAAGCTAAAGCGCCAAGCAAAACGATTCGTAAGCTCATAAACAACAAACGTAAAGAGTCGTTGACGCACAATGCCAACAATAATGCAGCAGCAGCATCAGCAACAGTTGTTAGTTGACGCTGCTAGCGACAGAATCGAAGTTAGTTGCCAGACACTATGTCACTGCGACAGCTTACGAGTAGACTATGGGGCTACGTCTATGGAATGGAGCAGAAGCTTCAGCAAGAGAAAACTAGCAAAAGTAGCTGAGCAAAAGCGATGCTAATAACCAAGATAAATTGATGCTGCAATTTACATATTCACATACAAACAAATTTGCTTACAACCAAACTCACATACATACAATACACACTTACATAAAAGCATGTACACATTGTTGCATACCGTTATAATCGTTATTTAGATGGCGCCGCATAGAAATTCACATCAACCACAACTAACTGAGCGTACAAAATTGTGAAAAAGTGAGAGTATCTGCTTGTTCGCAAATAGGTAAATATACCCAGTACCCAGTAGGAAAACAAGATTGTGTAGAAGCTAGCAAGCTTAGTTAGAAATTGACATAACTCAACGAAACTTGGTTACTACGTGGTTTTTGGTCTAAGAAAGATTCATATAGAAAATGAAAAGAGTGGCTTACTAAATGTAAATACACACTGCGATATGTCACTATATACTGATACTAATTTTGTATAAAGGGCGTGGCAGTGCCCACAACATATGCATCTCATTAGTACCTCAATCGATATTTCTCAAACTTGGTACCCTCACTGCCATTTATCTCACTAAGAAAAGATTTGGAAATATTTGAAATCGGGCAATAACCACGCCTACTACAAAAATTCACTATAAGTGGCATATTATATGTATTTACATTAGGGCGGGTGATTTTTTTCTTTTTTTTGACTTGGTGCGTATGGCATAGAAAGATTCTAGGTGTAATTCTAAGCAAATATGCCGAAGGAATCATGGGTCTAAAATCAATTTGGAGTTTGCCAAATTGCGAAAATAGGTTTCGCGGAAAATATGAATCTCTTGCGCCCTCTATAGCAAGGTTTTATACAAAATGCCAAGAAACTTAAAAAAATTAAACTTAATTAATGAAAAACTTAAGAAAATTATTTAATAAGTTAGTAATAAGTTGAATTAAAAAAAACTAAACCTCTATTATCCACAGGTCAAAAGTTTTAGTCTATCACTTCATTTTTCAAAGTATTAAGGAATCGTGCAGATCTGATGGCACTGACAAAAAATTACAAAATTATTTTATGCACTAGCAAAAAAATCATTACTTCTAAAAGTTCGGAAAATGAGCAGGTTTTTATTTCTGTCGATGCCGTCTATAAAATTCAGCTCGAATCGCCTACAGCTTGAACTTTTGCTTTATAAAAATTTTAGACACCACAAAGGAGGAAAGCCAAAAACTATGAAATTCGTATAGTTTTTATTCTTTCGCACTAAAAATTAGTAAACACTTTAACGAATTAAAAACTTATCAAAGACTGTCTAGAAGATTACTAGGCACTTTTCCAACTTTCGCTAGTTGTTAAGTACAAACTTTTCACCTTTGTTCAAGTTATTTCTACAGGGCATATTTTAGCATCTACAGCAAGCGTGTTTGTGCACACATTTACGTTGAAGTATTCTGCGGTAAAAGACCATAACAAATTCCCACGATTGTTTACACACAGCGACAATTGATGATGATGGCACAGTTGGTGGTAAAATGACTACAGTAATAATTGCTAAAAGAATTTATGATTTAATTTTATTAGCTCAGTCATACGATGATTGATCTTTATTATATTAGTTTTTAATTGCCTTAATGCATCACTATCAATATGGCGGAATGAATTTGAAAATGAAATGAAAAGGATTTATCATACGTAGTAGTATTAGTAGTACAAGTATATATATTTTTTTTTTGTACATTCAGTTTAAATTTAGTAAATTTTTTAGGCTACTATTTAATTTCGAACTCGTAAGTGAAGATTTTTGACAATAACAGATTGTGTTGAGTGTGACACTATAAGTTAAATAAAAATATAAGAATAACAAGCTATGAATATTCATTTAAAATTAAGTCCTTGTCTGGTGTGGTGGAATGCCATGAAAAAGTCATCATATCTGGAGCCAGTGGAGAAGGTTCAGCAACTCGCAGCACTGTGCATCACGGGAGCGCTGAGGTCCACTCCAACGGCTGCTCTTGAAATTATCCTCAGTTTACCAACCATTGACCTATGTATTCGCCGAAAACCATGCTGCTAAATCTGACAGGCTGGCCGCCGACAGAAGGCTGCACATCTATTGGCTGTTCGGCCACAGCGGAATCGGGGGTAATGAAATAGCAGATGAGACAACCAAGAACGCCATCAGTCTAACTCACGAACAGACAAACTACATTTGTTGACCCCTTCAACAATTGTACAACGAAATAGACGATATAATATGATAAGGCAGTTCAAGGCTAGATGGAATGAGTTAACCAATTGCAAAACTGCAAAAACTATATGCGAAACGGCAGAAACAAATATACTCGCTGTGAGTGGGAGACTAGGGAAACCTTTGAGCATCTTCTCTGCCGATGTCCTGCACTGTCAAATACACGACACAAATGTTTGGGAGCCTATCAATTTGAGAAGTTAGAGGACATCTAAAAATTAGGGCTAAAATTTCTGCTAAAAATTCGCAAAAAGCAACTCTAAAAACCTACCGGTCTATGTGTGGCTCCATGCGGGCTAGATAAAGCTAACCTAAGCTGAGTCCTTAACGTCATGTATTGTCTATGCGTTTCGACCCTTCAATTCTGCTCATCTCAGCTTGTATTGACAATTTCTTCCCATATTACTTCCAAAATTTGTTCAGAAATCAGCATGGTGGTAACTAACTATATGTTGAGGACTTACCTAGTCTTTGAACATCGATAATTTTCTTTTTCTATTTATACTGCATCGCAGTCAGACAATAGTGGCGTGATTTTAGGACTAATCAACTTAGCATTCCGGACATAGTGGAGAATCTCCTACACATCTGATACCAGCTCGACATGATGAGTGATTTATAGAGTACCATTTTTTTACGACGAAAAGAACTTCACTGTTAAATTTCCTACTCAGTCCAAAGTAGAACTTGCTAGCAAGAGTGATTATCCGTTGTCCGTTGGATTTCAAGGCTGATTTGATAATTGATATGGTAGTTGACGCATATGGCGGGGTCGCTGGTCTTGTGGATTGGGCAGAGCACACCTAAATTCCACTCGCCGGTTATGCCTTCAGCTGACCATTTTGTTATCTTAATATACACCACTCTACTGAAATAAGCAGACACTTTTTGTCCACACTCTTTTCTCTTACTGGCATTCAATGACCATAAAAAATGAAAAAAATCAAATACTCTCTTTTTATGTTATTATTTTTTATTATCTTTAGACTCATTACACTTAGTTCATTTACTCCCAATTCGCTCCATGAGCCCGATAGTTTTGTTCCCCTTTGCGATTATAAAATTGCGCCACTTTCAATTAAATTTTCAGTATAAATCGCTAAGCAAGTTTGTTGTGCGCTAGTGCATGAAACGCCATAATTACGGGTATTGCATTTTTTCAACAATTTAATTACCATTATTTGCCCATAAAATACGGAAAAGTGCCGGTAAAAATATTATTTCATTAAAGAAATGTTAGGTTTTATTTACTTAGCTCATTTCACTAAAAATAATCATTATTGATTATGCAAACAAAATTTTACTTGAATTATTTATAAAGTTAATTGAAGTAAAAATGAAAATGAAATATGTAAACGGATTTAAAAGCACTAGTTACTTATAACTAGCTACATAGTATTATTGTGTTTATGTGGGTCAGTAAAGCTGCAGAAAATAAATTTAGCTTTTAAGGCCAAAAAGTAATTTTAAATGTAAGAAAATTAGAGATTTACAGACTAGGGCCAAAACTAAATAAGTTTGCATTGTAAGTTCGTGGCTTAAGTCTTTTGTTAGCCCATAAAATTTGCTTGCAAATATTCATTCTCACTTTTTCTAATTTCTTTTTTGCCTCTAGCGCTTGCCAAGTATGTACGCCAAATGCCACCAACACCGTCTGGAGTCATTGTCAATGTGTTCTTGCTGATGGTGTCGAACGTGGTATACTCACGGTGAATCGTATGATACCCGGGCCCAGTATACAGGTGTGTGAAAATGACAAAGTCGTTATCGATGTAGAAAATCACATGGAAGGTATGGAGACAACAATTCATTGGCACGGTATTTGGCAGCGTGGCTCACAATATTATGATGGTGTGCCATTCGTAACACAGTGTCCCATACAGCAGGGCAACACTTTCAGGTGAGTGGCAACCAAAAAAAAATATACAAAAACTATTTACACTTAAATAAAAAAATTTATATTAAAAATTTTAATTCTATGCCAAAAATCGCGCCCACGCAGATATCAGTGGACCGGCAATGCAGGCACACACTTCTGGCATTCTCATCACGGTCTACAGAAATTAGATGGTATTTATGGCAGCATTGTTGTACGTCAGCCGCCGTCGCGTGATCCCAACTCACATATGTATGATTTCGATTTGACTACACACATTATGCTGATTAGCGATTGGTTGCATGAGGATGCCGCAGAACGTTATCCCGGACGCTTGGCCGTGAATACTGGTCAAGATCCCGAATCGGTGCTAATCAACGGCAAGGGTCAATTCCGTGATCCCAATACTGGTTTCATGACAAATACGCCATTGGAAATTTTCACAATCACACCAGGACGTCGCTATCGTTTCCGTATGATTAATGCCTTCGCATCCGTTTGTCCAGCGCAGGTGACAATTGAGGGTCACACAATGACGGTAATTGCAACCGATGGTGAACCAGTGCAACCGGTTGATGTGAATACGATCATATCGTTCTCAGGTGAGTGAATGTAATTAAGGAAAAAGTCTTAAAGAGAGCTAATTCAATTTACTTAATTTACTTACATCAAGTAGAAAAAGTATTCGTACACCATTTCTTTTTTAAATATTCATAATATTTTGCAAGCTAAAATTTGTTTGTTATTTTTTTATAAAACTATGGGTCAACAAAATCATATAAACCAAGGATTTAAGCTTTATACAAAATTACGGAAAATTAAATAAATTTTCATAAAAATTTTAAATTTTTTAAACAATTTTTTTTTCAAGTTAGCTATAAAATTAGCACGCATTTTCCTCCATACAAGAAATGAGCGAATTATTTGTAATGGAAGTAAATGCTTAGAACTACCAGAAAAAAAATTATTAAACATCAGCGCGATTTTCTAGCCACTTATCTTCTACTCATTATTATACTAAAATTTAATGGGCTATAGAACTTCGTACTTGAAATTTTTCAAAAATTCTGATTAAAAAGTTGAAATTTTTGATGAAATTTCATTGAACTTGAAACTTGGGTTTATATGATTTTGTTTGATAAAAAAATAAGGGACAAATTTTATATTGCCAAAATATGGTGAATATTTAGAAAATATACACAGACTTTTTCTGCTAGGTGTATGTTATTTTCATGACTTGTTTCTGCCGGCTGGTTGTTTGTTGTTACATTTTTTTTTGCATAAAATTATGTACATATGTTATGTTGCATTTGTCATTTAAAATATGCATAAGTCGTGCAAGTTTCTAACGCACAGCTGTCACAATGATTGGTCACTCATACAGCGGCGCCAAATTTGCGCTGAATTTTAATATTTCTATGGGCATTACAAAGCATGAAATTAATAAAAAAAAAACGATTAATAATAGTTAGTAGATGCGTAGCCTTCTCTCTCTCTCTCTCTCTCGCTTGCCTTTTATGGCGCTCAACACTTATGAATTCATAATTATACGTATGTATATGTGGCACCCTGTGCTTGAACTCGACATAAAACAACGCACCACTTTCAGCAGTGGTAAGTGAACTCAATGAGTAATAACCTCGAAGACATTAATATTCCAACTTGTTAAATGCCAAATACGAGTATAAACAAGAATATAAAAATTAAAATGAGCAAGAAATCGTGTAAAATATTACTAAACAACCTAGCCGCCAACATAATGCAACATAATTTTCGCCACAACAAAACCAAAACAATAAATAAATGAAATCATGCAGTTAAACGCCAAAGACGTAAAAAAAGCTATTGATTGCTGCAACAAAAAACACCGCACTGGTTTTTATAAAATCGCACACACACACGCCTAGTTAGAAATAAGTAAACTACAAATAACAGCATGAAAATGTATTATTCCCCACCAAACAATTTGTGTTGCCGGCAATAAGAAAACGTGTCGCCCTCGGAAACAAATTTATTGCCGGTAATATTGCCATCGAATCGATTTCCTATTACCGGTCGCTCTAAAACGTCCGCCGAAGGCAACTCGCCTGGGCGAGTCGTTTTCTTATTGCCTGAATGAGTCTTTTTCTTATCGCTTCAGGCGATATTTGGAATAATTTTATTCTTTTTAATACTTCATTTATTTTTCTGTATACCAAATTGCAACTTACAATCGGAATTAATTCATTTTCTCGCTGTGAGGCTTCCTATTTTATCAATCTTGTCCTTGGGCATAATTTAGATGCTTTTGGCCAATACTATTGACGCCATATTCATAAGTTTTGGAATTTTTGAGAACTTTTTTATTCAAAATTGACATGAATGAAGTGATGTTGCCGATTTGTCACCACAGCAATAAATCGGTGAGTCGCCAATTTGTTGCCATTGACGATTGTTGCCTATTTCTCATGTTTTGCATGGTGGGTTGTAGGCAAGTTCGCAGCATATACCATAATCATAAACATAAGCGCATTTGTATGTACATACATACGTACATATGTATGTAATTTTTGAGTGCAAATGAACCGCGCGTAAGCTGATGAAAATGAACGACTAGTAAACAAACGTTCGGGATTTGGGGGAAATATTTACTTATTTAGTTAGTAGTAGAATAGTATTAAAAAATTGCCGGACGAAAAGTCACACAGGGCGTGAATAGTATGTGCACACCTCGATTGTGTAAAATATTTATGAATATATGTATATTTGTACACTTAGTATGTACAGTTGTGGCCGCAGAATTAGGGCACTAAATACTTCTTTATAAGTTTGTTTATGTTTAATTATTTTTTTTTGTGCATCAATATAGTTTACGCTACAAACTAAACCATGGATCTCAAACCTTGTACAAAATTTATAAAAATTTTACCAAATTCAAAAAATGGGCATCAAAATTTTAGTTGAAGTTTCAAACGGCTAAGTATCCGAACTTATTTTTGAGAATTTTCTTGGCTGACGATGTTTCGCATTTTCTTCCATACAAAGTTCAAAAACTTTTTTTATATGGGAGAAAATGAACCACACCGTCAACGAATTTTTTACCGCCTAAAACTTCCGCAATCCAGCATTTAGTACATTTCCATTTCACTTGAATCTGAAATTTAATTAATTTGATTTAAGTTGAAGTTAATTTTTTAATTTATCTGGATTATTGGTGCACTGAAAAGACTTCACGTTTTAATGTACTTAACAAGTTAATAAATTAAATTAAATTATTAGTATATTAGTATCAATAGAAATTGTGTTGAAAACGCTTTACATCTAAACACACGTAGGAGCGTTGCCATCTGTTTAAAAAATTAATTTCGACTCGATTTAGGGGATTTAAGTAATTGAAATAGATATTTATGACAATACGGGTGTATTAAATTATAGAAAATTCATGTACATGAGTTTATGAGTAATAGGGTGCCCCAACTCCCTCCCTCCCTGTATCGTGTTCTATATACAGATAAATTATTAAGTTAAGGAACAAATATACCTTTGCGACCAGCTGATTAAGTTAAGTGACATTTTGATCAGTTTTGGTTATTTTTCTTTTGTTTATTTAATGTTTATAACTTTTTTTGTAAAAGTCTGGCACATTGCACACATAAATCCACATTTCAAATTTTCTTACAAAATTTGTAAAAATTCAACAAAATTTAACAATTGCACAAATAAATTTTAAACTTTTCATTCAGAATTTTTACAAAAGTTTTATTTAGGCATTCAGTTTTATAGTACATTAAATTTGTTAAAATTTTTGATTGTTAACAATTTTTTTTGCTGAAGGTGGTGAACATTTGCTCCCATATAAAGTATGCTCTTCAAGATAAGTGCATGTTTTCATACAAAATTTAAGCACTTCTTAAAGCAAAAAAGAATATATCTGTATATGCATATATATGGAGAGGGGCCTCCCTCTTCATTTTCTACCAATAGCGGGTGCCGATTCGAATACTTTTAGTGCTGGAGCGTCGATGTCCATTCGAACGATTTTTAAATAAAAATAAAAATAAAACAATTTTATAATTATTTTTAATTTTATAATTATAAAAAAAAAGTCTAAACAACATTTGATTTAAAAAAATATATTTTTGAATTTTTTCCGTGCAGAGCCTACCCATGATCTTATTGAAATTCTTAATATATTTGTTCACTTAAGTGGCTTCATGGCGGTATATAATTAATTTTATTGAGAAAAAGTCGATTTAATTCGTTTTAGTAATTCGTATAGTTAAACTAAACATTTTCATAACTATTTAGATAAAATGTAGAAAAAATCACTTTTACTTGGCTCCCATATCATTTCGAAAAGAAACTACCGCTGACTCTTAACCATTTCGACTCCATAAATACACACGTACACATATTTTTATGCAAATGTTTCATATCTTATAAAGGCTCTTTAAATGCCCTGCTTTTATCGCCTATAATTGTTTCGGCAACCATGTAAAACTTTACCAACCAGTAATTGCTACTGCAAGTGTTTATTGCGGCAGGCCCACTTTCTTATCGCTTTTATCTTATCTTTTATATAGTTTTACTTTGCCAAACAAGTATTGTTTTCTGGCGGGTATTTTGGAAAAAAGAAATCAAAAGTATTCCAGTAAGTAGATAATTTATCATATTTATAAACGCTCAGCACTACAGCAACAATTAATTGACCATTCCACTGTGCTCTACAAAACTTTGCCAACTGTTTCATTAAAAACTTATACACCTTTTTACGGCGCTATTATTAGCAATAATCAAGTGTTTGGCTGAAATTAAAATTTTTATTTCATAGCGCTTTAAGCACACTAAATTTTATTTTTTCCTTTTTTTTGTTTTTGTTATACATAATTGTGTAGTTAATTTGCTAACATCAGCCACTATACATACATATACATAGCTCCGCTGGCAATGATAATTGAGTAATAAGAAGTTTTACTCTGGCTAATAATTATTTTTCATTAAAAATATGTTTGCATTGTTGGTGTGTGTTTAAAAACCGGCTTCTTTCAAGCTTATACACAAATCTGATAACAACTGTTCAAAGTAAACTTTTTTTTTTAATAATAAGTATACATAATTTTTTTTGGAATCTCTTTTAAGTTTCGACATCTTGCAAGTTTAACCGCCTTAGGTAGATCAATTTTTACATGGTTACTTAATAAGATCATACCCTCTAGTCAAATATGTAACTAACGACCGAGAATAAGGACACTCGTTGTTACCTTATGAAATTCCAAGAAATATCTTAAAAGGCTTATAATGTATCTATATCGCTACGAATTTATACACACATCTACTGATTCGTTTTATAAATGTCATGAATCATATTAAGTAATTTAATATTTTTACGATTTCATTAACCTAATAATTAATTAAGAACACTTATTACACTCACTAATAAACTTTTTAATCGCCACATACTGTAATTGAGTTGTTAATAAATAATAACTGTTTAATGCACGTAGCATTAATTCAAGTACATACATATGTATCATTCATACAAATGAAGTGGAATAACATTACTTCTTAAGCAGCGTATATAAGGTCAGATGATCAAGTTCGTTTATTTAATTTACATTCTTCATATATATAGGTATGTTTTTTTTATTAACTGTTTATTTATATTGCCGTTTATTTATTGTGCTCATGTTGAATTTGAAGTGGTTAAGTTGATGTGGAAAGCTTAAAGAAATTCAAAAACCAATTGACGGTAAAGACATACATACGTACTTCACGCAGCTAAATTTGCGTATCTTATTGGTAATGTTTAATAGAACTGCATAAAATTAATTATAATAATAACTAAATTAAATTTTTTTTTTTTTGGATAAATGTGCAAAATACCGCCAGCAAAATAAATTAATAAAATCAACACGATTTTCCAGCCATTTCATACCAAAAACTTTTCTAAATATTCAGATTTAAAAGACGGGACCGATAAAAAAAAGTTATGATCGAAAGTGAATGTCATTCTCGTAGTTTTTTTCCTAAGAACGTTTAAAAACCCAAACCAAAATGAGAACGAAACCTTTGGGAGTGTTTCCACAAGGATAAAACTGAGGGCAAAACTGTCGAGAACGTGCTCAACGAGATATGCATATGTAAGAACAATAACCTATGGAACATTCCCAAAGGGAGCAAAATGCGAGCAATGCTTTCGGGAACATTTCTAAAAGAACAAAATGGGAACAAGAGTGTCTAGAACGGCTGGCAAAAAACCGAAATGGGTAAAAATCTAAGGAGCTTCCTAGCGCAGTAAATGAACAATGAATTCCATAAATGGGCAGTTAACGCCAATGATAAATGATCTGGAAATTGAAATGATACATCTTTCCTCTAGCTTAGAATTAACAATCATGCCTTTTATTGAAACGATTTTTCGTCCCAACACGCAGACACCGCTCTCATTATTAACGTAAAGTTCTTAAAGCTTTTGTTCTCGTTTTGCTCTCTAGCAAATCCCCGGCTTTTTGTTCTTATTTGATCCTCTTCGAAAACGTTCTCGATAGCTTCGTTCTCATTTTGTTCTCATTGAAGACATACCCGAAAGTGTCGTTCCCATTTTATTCTTCTTGAGCACATTCTTGAGAGTTTTGTTCGCATTTGGTTCTTTATAAAAACATCCCCGAACCTATTGTTCTAATTTTTTCCCCATTCAAACTGCTCCCAATACTTTTGTTCCCATTTAGTTCTTTTGCGGAAGCGTTCTTGACATTACATTTTGTTCTCGTGTAGACTAAAGCAAAACCAGAGAGCGCGTCTTTGTCCCTGTTTGAAAGCTCCAAATTTTTACTAAAATTTGTTTAGTTTTTCTAACAAAGTTTGAAATTTTAATTTATATGATTTTAGTTAAAGCGTGAAAAATATTTTATAAAAAAATAACAAAAAAAATTTATTTGAAAATATTTGTGAATATTAAAATAATCAACATCTGAATACTTTTTTGAGTTACTGTACTCTTTACATTAATTTCTTCACAAAACAGAAAAAGCTTTTAAAAAACGTTAACGATACAAAATAAATTGTGCTTCAAGAGAAAAACGCGAATAACTTTCTTCTAGTTGCAAGTTTCTGAGTTTTTTTTTTGCAAATGTAATATAAAATATATGTACAACGCCAAAACGCCTTAAAGCAATTGAGAAGTCAACATTTCAGAAAATTTTGACACTTTCGTCAAGTTTTGACCAATCCGTGTGGACACAATAATAATAGATTGGCGCTTACGTAGTGTTTGGCCAAGCTTCTCCTCCGATTTTTGGCGTGCGCCTTGATGTTATCACACAAAGTGGAGGGACCTACAGTTTACGCCGACTCTGAACGGCGATCGTATTTTTATGAAAAGCTGTTTTTCATGGCAGAAATACACTCGGAGTTTTGCCATTGCCTGCCGAGGGATGACCGCTGTGAAGAAAAAACTGTTTTTCTATATTTTTTTGCGATGTTGCATTTATCTGAGCTTGAACCCAGGCGCTGACGAGTGGAAGTGCGCACTGCCTACCACTACACCACAGCGAGGATATGTATATCCAATTAACACGGATAGATTTTGGCATGTAATTACATAAATATAACTTATTTTTTATTCACCGCTTGAAGTCCCGTGAATTGGCCACCAATATAATGCGATTTGACCCCGCTGAACTTATTCGTGTGGGGTTTCCAAAAATCGCAGTTCTATGCCAATAAAGCCGCAATCAATCGATGCCCTTACAGCCAGCATAGCCCAGGTCATCGCTCTAGTTCAGCTCCATCTTTTCTCTTCTAAACCACTACATTATCCGCTTCTAACGCGACTTCATGCAATAATAAATAGTTATAATGTATATTATCTTCACATTAGTTATTTACTTTGCAATGTAATCGTTCAGCAACTTGGCTCTATTTGTCATTTTTATTGACTTACTATATTACCAGAAACGTCAGTTGACAATAACAGGCTTTATAATTAACAAAAAAAAAAACACATGCCAGCAAAGTACCCACTACTGAGCGGGTGTAATTATTTAAACAGAAAAAATTCAAAATATGTGAGCAGCCGCTAATTTGTAACAATTGATACTGCGCAATTATTTCTAATTTAAAAAGTCAGGGTTAAATTACTTCAACATACCATAAATAATAGAACGACAGCAACCAACTAGGCGCTCAATAATGCAAAACCGACTAATTGCATTTCAAAAATACCAATTTAATGAAATTTAAATTATTTTAGCTAATTACTTCTGCGCTCAAACTATTTTATGTTTCCTAGTTCGTTAAATATTATTTTTTAAAGAAATATGCTCCAGTTATATACATACATATGTATGTACATTTGCTTTCAAATCTAACTAACCACCTCTACCTATCTCTATTTGCTCCCCTCCGCCTTGCAGGTGAACGCTATGACTTCATTATCAATGCCAATCAACCTGTCGGCGCTTACTGGATACAGGTGCGCGGTTTGGGTGAATGTGGCATTCGTCGCGCTCAACAGTTGGGTATTTTGCGTTATGCGCGCGGCCCCTATCAACCAGCATCGGCTCCACCAACCTACGATGTCGGCATACCACAGGGTGTGGTAAGTAAATGGCTTTTGTATTATTACTTTATTACCAAAAAAAAAAAAAAACAACACAAAAAGAATATAAAAGAAATACGAAATCATATAAAAAAAAAAAACTGTAACATCGAATAACTCACGAATGTAGTTGCCATTCAGGGCATAGCCTTAAACAATTTACTATTTGCATATTTTTGTTCCCATTGCGGCGATATATATAAATACTTGAATGTACATATGTATTTGTGTGCGCTTTTGAAAAACAGCGTGACTCAAAGCAATTTTTGTGTGTGTGTGTATGCGTGAACTTTTGTGCGCTAAGTGATTGTTTGTAGCTAAGATAGTGCCATGATTTTACAATTTGATCGTCATCGAGGCTGATTGCATACGAAACTTGGTCGGGACGTCAGCCTGCTCGACGCTGTACGCGATCAAATCAATGAATGTAGGCTTTACATACGAAAAAAATACTTTAACATACAGTGCATTTAAAAAATAGCAAAATGTTATAAATAACATCCGTATTGCACTAATTAGATCATACTTTAATATAATTCTGTTTTAATTATTAACTCAAGATCGCTCTGGTCGACCATCGTTGGCAACTTCCTAGGCAAGCAGCGCGAGTTTTTTAAGCATTTTATATATTATTTCCTTCGCTTTGGAGAGAGTAGTTTGTCAAGCAAAAATATTTTTTAAGGGATTTCAGGAACTTAAAATTACCATTATCCTGAATTTTGTATGCAGTGTCAAAATTTTTATTTGGAAGATCTTCCTTGCTAGATCCAACAAGGCTAATCGTTTTACTGGGATTTTTTTTCGATAATTTTTAATCATTATAAAGGAGACTGCTTCTTAGGAATTCCGCAGTCACTATGAGTTTCATAAAAAAAAACTTTATTTAATAATTTATTTAAGATTTTAAAATTTTGTCATCAAGAGTAATAATAAATTTCTGAGCTGTATAGTATAATTCAGAAATAAAAACTATATATCGAGTTATATTTTTTTGATAAAAAAAAGAAATTTTTTGAGTGTTATTTTTCTCTAAATATTCATTATTATACGAGCTAAATTTTTTTAACACAAACAATCTGCTTTTTAGTTAATTTTTTTGGAAAAAAATAATTAATATTTTTTTTTATTGAATTTTTTTTTTATCGAAAATAAAACAGATTTTTGGGCGTTGTTTTACCTACATATTTATAATTAATTTTTGAGTTTTATTTTTTTGGTAGTTCGTAAAACTCAAAGGGTCACACCGCTTAAAAATTACAACAATTTATCAGCCGTATTTTTTAATAATACTTATTTGTTAAGGTTGCCCTTAAAATGTCAACGTCTAAATTTTGTATGAGCAAAAACTGAAGACATCCACGTAAATGTCAAAATTTAAAAAACAAATTTTAGAGTTTTAGAAATTTTGATATTTTATTTTCATCGCAAAAATTTGACTTAATACTTACTTAAAAACTGATAAGTTTTGCATGTTATTCAAGCGTATTCATATAAATTCATAAACTCATGGAACTATAGCTGGTCAAAGAGAAAGTTTTGTCGAATTTTTATGACTTAAAAAAAAAAATCAACTTTTACAAACCCTGCTAGCGAACCCTTGAAGTTTGTTTAGAATTTTTAAATCATAGTGGACGCCTTTATTTCGTATATAAAATAAAATAAAGCGGTGCCCAAGCAAAACATATTTATCACTGAACACTTATTCGGTTTTTGATCTGCCAAAAAAAAAAAAAAATTCCAAAGTTAATTGTTATTTGTTAGGGATATAACAAAGCTTTATACATTAGTTAAAATTTCGATTTCTATAATGATTATTTTTTATCTAAAAATAAAAATTCGAAAATAAATCATTGTTTCAGAGCAAAAAATAACATTGGAATAGTTACAGCTTTATTTGTCGTCAAAAAAAATAAAGCTTGATATATATATATGATTATACATTCTGAGCGATAAACAAAACTCTAACAGCCATTTTCACGAAAATAATTGAAGTGAAATTTTTTTTTTTTTATTTGAGTTTAATATGGAAACTGACAGAAAAAAATCATTTTAGTTTGGTTTTTTTTCTCCAGACGTCATTATCCAATTCCTATGTAGAATTGCTCGGTGATTCCGAAAATTGAGTTTATTTTATTTTTTTCTATGGATACGTTTTCAAGATATTTGCAATTTAATGTAAAATAATTATCACAAACACAATTTATCGAAAATACAAAAATCATAAAATAACGGTTCAATTTGATTGGAAAATATGAACCCTATTTTAACGGTGGCAAACTTTTTTCCTACTCCAAAAATAAGGAGCAACGGTAAAATGCAATCAACTTTCAAAAACTGTTCACTTTAAGGATTTTTTTTTTTACACGAAAATATTTTTCTAATATTCCGACCTCGAAAGTTCGCTAAGCTGCATCCAAAATTACTTAATTAAAGTTATTAGTTCAATGCCAATAGTTAAGCGATGAATCACCAAATGTTCAAAATACAAACCCCAATCAACATCCAATAAAACTCGAATGCAAAACTGAAATATAGCAACTGAATAGTACAATATCTATAGATTTCCATGTAATTGATTTATGCAAATCAATTTGTAAATATGGTGGCACATAAAAACAAAACAAAGGTATTAGCTAAAAATTTTAAAGAACAATTGCTGTCGCTATTTGAATTTGTTTTTACATACATACATACATACATATGTACATAAGTATAAACCGCTGCAAAAAGGAACTAAATCGCAAGCGCATAAAGCGCATGCGCAAGAATAAAAACAACAACATAAAAGTGCATCTAAACAATAGCGCGATAATTGTATAGCAAATAAAAAATATGGCAAAATGTTACATAAGAACCAAGAAATGGCGCCTGCAGAGCCATTGGTTACGCGCATACATATCGCCTGTTCACCTGGTAAGTTGAAAACATTCCAATTTTCCACCAACGCTTGGTGACTGTGTGGCTGAGTTACGGCACCACCCCCCCCCCCCCCCCCCCCCCCCCCCCCCCCCCCCCCCCCCCCCCCCCCCCCCCCCCCCCCCCCCCCCCCCCCCCCCCCCCCCCCCCCCCCCCCCCCCCCCCCCCCNACCAATTTGTGACTGCAATCACACTGGGAAAACGTGAGTTGCAAGAAATAAATAATTTCAATTACATTTAGTTAAACAAATATTATAAAAAAATTGTACAAAAATGAAAAAAAAAATTTAATCAAAAAGTATTGTACACAAGTTAGCAGTTGTGAAAATTGTGGCATTTGCTATGGCTTATGGCACTTTAAATAATTAGAACAAAAAAAAAAACAATATAATAAAGTCAGTATCTTGGTTTATGGCAAAACGCAATGTACTCTTATTTGCTGTAAATGCTATATTTGCATATATGTACTATGTAAATTTGTATATGTATGTTTATATTACTTATTAATATTTTAATATAAGTTTTTTAAAATAGCACAAAAAATTCGAGCCTTAATTTTGTGTAAAGACGTAGCACAATATTTTTGAGACCTTTTTTCTCGACAAACAATTTGACGATATTGCCTACCTCAATCATTTTTTACGCCATTTTTATTATAGTTTGTACCGGAATTATACTAAATAAGTGCGACAAAAAAATGTACGAAAAGTACGTAAGTAAAAAAATCTGTTATTCCAGTTAGATTATAAAAAAAGTAAATACATTTTAAAATAAAAGCTATTAAAATTTTTTAAAAAAACTTGCTGGCAACTTTACAAATTAAAATCGGTTTTAAATAGTAAAATTCATGAAATTTCCATAAAAACTGCATTAAAAAATCTCTTGAATTCACATCGGCAGAATTTCCGACAGACAGATAGACAGATAGATCTAACATTTCCCTTCTAATGTTTGTCTTTTATTTTTGTAAAAAATGTTTTGGTATCGATACCTACTCAGTATCGGAAAGGAGTACTTGTACACAGAACTACGATTTTGCATATTTTTCCAAGTTATTCTATTTTTTCATAAAAAATATGCAACCGTACCTTTATTTAGTTGTAAAATATTTTCGGTACTAACATACCATTTTGGCTACATTATGAAAGTAGTCAAATAACTTTTCAGGAAATCAGCTCTTATTTTTATTCACATTTCAATGCATTTTCTGGTGTAGATAACTTGTGCAATAGCCTCTCTCCTTTGTGAAGGGACATACAAATGATAATAAAAAGGTGGCCAAAGCAACGTAACTGTAGCAGATTACGCCAGATAGACAGAATATTTCTTTTTAAAATGTCAGATCGAAGAACTCGGAGGAGAGTGATTCACCTTTTCTAAAACATAGTTTTGTCTCGAAATTTTCTTTTCATAGCCAAATTGCAGAAGTTGAAATGGTATGAAAGGGAAAGGTTATCCTCTTATTTTCTTTAATATATACAGACAAAAATACATATTTACCTAAAAATTTTACCTACAAATTTTTTTACTTTTAGTTAAAGTTTTTCCGCAGATTGGGTTCAATTTGAAAATTCAATTATCCATCCCTGATGTAGTATCAGCTGTAAAAGAGAACCAGAAATAAACAGCTGATTGCTATTTGTTCAATAAACATACTTTAAAGTCAAAATTAAATATACCCAGCAGGGTTGCATGAAAAAATGCATTCAATTAACACTCAATTAAGTACTAATCGAGCAATTAATAATTGAATTTTTGTATGGTAAATCGAACTCAATTAGCGTGTTAATCGAGAAGGCTTGGATAATTGCTTTAAGAGCATATTTCAAAGCTGACGGTACGGGATTTGCCTTAGCTAAAACTATAATTTTTTATGACTTTTGCTGTGACGATAGAATACGCCATATTTATATCAGCATATTTTATAAGTAATTTTTAAGCAAAAAACACAACCGACTTAAGTTCTCATATAATAATTTAGGAGTACCTCCGCCTTTTTTTGAAGTCGGTTAAAAATATAAAAACTCAGTTTTAAATTTCCTTTTTCTTCATTTTCTGTTTTCAAAGCTATTTAACAAAACTTATGTAATAATTACCCATTCTTAATTATTAGTATTGTACATAAATGTAAATAAGACATATTTTTATTACAAAAAATATGAAGACATTTTTATTCTTCTAGCTGTATAGTTACAAGTATTATGCTAATCATATTTTTTCTTACCAATTTTTTTTTTCTTTACAATGAACCATTCAACCAACCAATCAACCAACAACCCCAACCAAAACTGCAAAACTCCAATATGTCTTCACATCTGAAATCATCAAAAATGTTAAAAATCTTTCGGAAAAAACTCTGCAAAATTTAAAAATTTAACGATTTGATTTGAAATGTTGTATATAAAAACCAAAAACCTAATACCAAAAACCACCAATGTTTTTTTTTAATATAAATGGCACAAATGTATATAAATGCACAACACCTCAATGCTTACGCTAAATGAAATCATAAAACTAAACTAAAATTAAATGCGGTAAATTGCCATAAAAAATATGAAAACAAAAAAAAAAAAAACTGTCAACAATAAAATAAAACAAAGGTCATGAACCCTCTGGACGCCCAATGTAATACACCGAGAAACGATGCTATCTGCGTGAGTCAGCTGAAAAGTGCGCTGGATGTACATCGCGACATTTTAACACAAACGCCCGATGTGAAGATCTTCTTGCCCTTCCGCTTCTACGTTTACCGTCCGGAAGAGCTGTTCCAGCCAAACACCTACAATCGCTATTTGGGTAAGTTTTTTTTACATACATATGTACATATATAAATATATAAATGAAAACCTCCAATTTGCTGTTGCAGTCGCGCCCACTGGTGATCATGTCATCTCTCTCGTCGACGAGATCTCGTACTTGTCTCCACCGGCGCCACTTACCTCGCAATTCCATGAAATCAATCCTGAACAATTCTGTAACGGTGATAATCGTCCCGCTAATTGTGGTCCAAATTGCATGTGTACCCATAAAATCGATATACCGCTGAATGCAATTGTGGAAATTGTGCTAGTTGACGAAGGTGAGTGAGATAAGTATATTTACAAATTTTGAATGTCTTTTAATGCTTAACATCATTATTACGATTAGTTGGTTTTTTTTTTTGCATACATTCCTTTTTGTATAGACACAAGCATTTTGTTAAAATTCGATTGTATTGATAAGTAAATAAGTAAAATCTAAGTCCTCAGTGCAATGCCAGGTGCCTCCCAACCGGATGCAAACAATCGCTGTAGAGCCGCATAGATTACAGAAATGTTGCCAAATATGTACAGTGGCGGTCAAAAATAGATGAATGGTTTCTCGTTTTTAAAACATTTACAATATTTTTCAAGCTAAAATTTTTTTGATATTTTTTTATAAAAACTTAAAGCATGACTTTAACAAAAACTGTATAAATCGCACTTTGAAACTTTATACAGAACTTAGAAAAATTCCACAAATGTTTATCTAAATTTCGAGCTTTTTAACCAGAATTTTTAGACATTTTTTTGGGCATGCAGTTAACAAGTTTATAAAATTCTAATAAAATAAGTGCAAGTTTTGAGCGACTAAAAAATCGCATTGGTTTTTAATAACTGTTTTTTTTTTGTGGACAGCTCTTTCCGCTTTTTTGCATATCGATGGCTGAGTGGAAGATCGACCTATCTCGGCAGCCAGTTCGAAAACATTCTATCTCAAAGAACTTTTCAAGAACGCCCTATTTCAGAATTCGTTTCAAAAACGCCCTATCTCAGCTGCCGATTCAAAAACGCCCTATATCAGCATATTTTCAATACATTTTGAAGTGAGATAGGGCGTTTTTGAACCGAATTTTGAGATAGGGTGTTTTTCAATAAAATTCTGAAATAGGGCGTTCTTGAAAAGTTTTCTGAGATAGAGCGTTTTCGAACTGGCAGCCGAGATAGGTCGATCTTCCACTCAGCCATCGATATAAAGATGAATTTCATATGAAAGAATATGCGCAAGACCTTTTGCAAACAAAAATAAAAAAATTCAGCGTCCGTTTTCCTAAATTATGATATTTATATGAAAAACCCGTCATCAAAAAAAAAAAAAAATATTAAAAATCAATGCGACTTTTCAGCCGCTCAAAGCTTGCCCTAATTTTACTAGAATTTAATAAGCTTGTTAGCTACATACCCAAAAAATTTCTGAAAATTCTGGTTAAAAAGCTCGAAATTTAGATAAAAATGTGTGTAATTTTTCTTAGTTCTGTATGAAGTTTGAAAGTATGAACCATATTTTTATTAAAAAAAATATCAAAAAAATGTTAGCTTGGAAAATATTGTAAATATTAAAAACTAAACACCATTCATCCATTTTTGACCGCCACTGTATGTATGTACTATATATATACATTTGTATGCCTGCATGTAATTTATAGTTTACCAACAGCGGCACCCACGAGCCAAGATTTTATGTACATATATATATATATTCAGCGCAAATTAACGTTTATGGTAAAATTATAAAATCAGCAAATCGAAATGGTGAATTGTAGATTGTTTGTATGTAGATTGTGAGAAAATTATAAAACTAAATGTTTGATTAACTAAACACAAGCAAACGGAAAAAATAACTTCAACGCCTTTGGGCATTTCCGATACTAATTCACCGCTGCACATTGCGCTCTCACTAATTTTATGTTTGTGGCATAGACATTTTTTTTTTTTGTTTTTTTGTTGTTCAGTTCATTCAAAAGGCAGCTGCAGAAAACATGAACTAGTTCAGCTTCGCTCTGAACCTAAGGTGTGGTTTAGCAGGAAAATCTTAAGTAATATCGTAATAATTCGTATTAAGATTACTAAATTACTTTTTTAGGCTAGTCGTAGGATAGTAAAGCGAATTACAAGTGGATGTCGATGCATATAGTGTTAAGAGTTGCGTAGTGTGCGATAGCAAGATTTAATTTTTTTAGTTTTTTTTTACTGTTTAATGTGTATTTAACATTACTTAAGCTCAGAAAATCTTATTCCTGTTTTTGAACATTTAATAAAATTGGAACCCCTTCTTTAGAATTAAAAAAAAAAAAGTATTTTGAATACGCCTTTGCAATAACTTTGAAATAAGACTTTCTTCTCTTACAAAAAAAAGGGGAACAAATGTCGTTAGTGTGAAGACAGTCTGCCGAAATCTACAATGAAATTTAAATTTTTAAATTTTGGTCCTAAAATTGACATGCCCATTTCTATAACATTCTTCGATTTAAAAATAAATGTTGCGGGTCGAATTTTTGTTCACGAATCCACAGTAAAATCAACTTTTTGTTAACTTTAGTTTTAAAAGAGCCACGCCCATTTCTAGGCGTTCATCGCCTTAAACAAAAATCTTCCCGAACAAATATTTTTGCTGGTGCCTAAATGCATACTATGTACTGCTACATGTGCAAGAATTTCCTTCATTAAATTTGTGAAATTGTTGCACATGCACTTCTCAACTGCCATGTAATAAAACTTTCCTAAGTTATAACTTGATGGATCTACAAAGTATGCTCGGCTTAGTCTGATACATCCTCAGGACAATGCTTCCATACCACCCTCGGACCTCGCCGCATGAATTTTAGTCGGACAATATCCGGTGCGATCTCCCCGACCAGTCACGAGAGACGTGGCTTGTTTGGTTTTAAGAACACTGTTTCAGCTGTCGATTAACCAGTGGCCATGTGGACCTAGCCACTTTGCATCCCAAGTTTTCACCCAGCATTTGTTAGGCTGACTAAAAGGGCATCTGTCATCAGAAGCTAACCAAATGCAGGCAATGAAGACCTCTGCATTCCCCTATACATAATAATAATAATGTTTTGGCGCTAACAGTTTTGCTAAGTGTTTGGTCGAGCTCCATCCCCAATTTGTGGCGTGTGACCTGATGTTATAACACAAAAGGGGCCTACAGTTTCTTTTCAAATTTAGATTTTGCCCCGGTTAAGGATCGAACCTAGGTCCCACGGGCTAGTAGTATGCACATCTAACCACTCAGCCACAGCGACGGCCATTACCTTAATCGGTGGTTCTTGAGACCAAATAATCTTGATAGCGAAGTACAATGTTGCCATCGAGAGAGAATTCCGGCATTCTCCTACCGTTCTTGAAGCTATCATCAAAAGATTTTGGTACCCTGATTATCGCCTGGCCACCAAGTAAGTATTATATTTGTGAGCATATAGCTCGATGCATCCTTTATTGCGGCTATTTCTGCTTGAAAAACACTGCAGAAGACACCTCCACCTACCTTTCCATCCAGCAGCAATCAATCCGTGAAATAGTTTACAGGACAATGGTCCCTGAAACTAAGCCCCATTCCATCCACTCTGTACGGGATGTAGGAAGTGAATGATCTACTTAAATGCTGTAAGGGAGTGCAGCCATCAATTCGGTAAGAAATGCTTTCGAGGCTTTATTTACTTAAATCCAGAGCCTCTTAACTTTACTGCGACGCAGGCAGCGGCAGCTTTTCCTGAAGTGCATTCTGTGCAGCTGCTTGCCGATGTCCACTGTGCCCCAACACTTGAGATCATCATACAATAAAATTGGTTTGATTATGGTCATATAACCAGTAAACCGCCCTCGGCAAAAGGTCACAGCGCTTTCTAATGACCCCACTGCAACAATATAAAACTTTTCTCGAAGTACGGCGTCCAGGACGGCTTTCTGTCACGGGCAAGCCCCATATCTGACGCTGTGGGAGCGCTAATGGGAAAACGCCTATAGAGGGAGACTGAAAAACGGGAGTAAAAGGCAGGTTCCTTCTCTTTATGGTTTGCAGCTAAATAGTAGGTAACAGTCCAGCCCACTTCTTAAACAAGTTCAGATTTCCCTGCATAAATTCATACAGGCAGTGTAAAAACTATCCTCTAACTAACAGTTCTACGTCGGCAGCATACATGACCAGTCGATAGTCGATTTTGCCAAAGTTTCCAGCAGTCGATGACGACAATAACCCAAAGAGAACTCCCCTTTGTGGGGTACCTCTACGCACTTTCTCTGGTTGGTTAGCGTTGTCATACTCTGTCGCAACGGTTCTGTTACAAAGCACGTTTTCAGTTACTTATGGAATTTACCATTGCCTCGGGCAGGACGTCTTTGAAAGCTTCATCGATATCAAGGAAAGCACCAACCACGAATATCTTCTGCAAGGAGGATTACTCAATGATCCGCCCTTGCAGAAGGTACGCTGATTTGATGGCAAACGACTTTAGGGATCCCCTCCTTATCTGCAGATTAACCCGTTTCTCAAGCGCCTTTAAGACAAATGAAATCCCTATGTGCACCATTTTGGGCTCTGCCTATCTTGGGTACGAATATAACTTTGACCCCCTATGCGCGCAAAGCAAACTCTTGGGTAAAACTAACTAATTGTTTACGCTCCTCAAATTTATTACACCGAGCTTTTACTGTTTGTACATAAATATACAAATTCAACGGAATCAAAAAGCTCAACAAATATCTAACCCAAGTTGTATCATATTTTTGTCCCCTGTTTAAGTATTTGTTTTTGGGTGGTACTTGTTAGCTTTCAGCAGTAACAGATCAAAGTTGTTGGCACGAGGCATGCATATATCGAACATTATAAATAGGATCTGCAGGTGAACTTAAGCTGACAGTTACAGACATTTTAACAGGTATCTGATAATAAAATAATTTTCTTAAGTGTTTTTTTTTTATTGTTGGGTTGGAATATATATGTAAATATATACCTACATATTCTGCTTGTTTAGCAATTGCAGTTATTTGTCGAAACCTATAAGACTAACTTATGCCATCTTCTCACCCCCTCGCAGTTCAACAACCTAACTTGTCGCATCCCTTCCATTTGCACGGCTACAGCTACAGCGTTATCGGTATAGGTCGCTCACCCGATACCAGCGTCAAGAAAATTAACTTGAAGCACGCCTTGGACTTGGACAGACGCGGTCTGCTGCACCGTCAATATGATTTGCCACCACAAAAGGATACACTGCCAGTGCCAAATAATGGTTACGTGGTGTTACGTTTCAAAGCGGATAATCCCGGTAAGTGACATGCTGAGGTTATTAAGTAACATTTTCGAAGAGCTTTTAAGAATTTCTTTTCTTTTTCTGGAGAAGCTTTTATGTGTTCGTGCTTATGATTTAATTTTTCCACAGGTTTCTGGTTCTTCCATTGTCACTTCCTCTTCCACATAACGATCGGTATGAATCTGATATTGCAAGTTGGCACAAATGCCGACTTACCACCAGTGCCACCAGGTTTCCCAACGTGCGGTGATCACAAGGCGCCTATACCGATTAATTAACTCTAATATAACCTAAAAGGTGCCAAATTCTTTCTAGACTTCTTCTAGTATATAGAAAGTGAAAAATATATAGTAAAAAAATTTCTTAATATAAACAAGCCACAAAAGATGATAAAATGTGTTCTGTAAAAAAAAAGAAGCACCTCGACAAGTGAAGTGCAAAAAGCACAGCCTTAAAAGGAATGATGAAAAACAAATAGACCGAACATGAAAAGTTAATTTTATCAAAACATCATCGTTAAAAAATAGTGCTTAAAACGAGGAAACAGTCTTTTAAGAATGAGCTTAGAAAGCTCTAATCATCATCAATATAGCATCAACAAATCATGTAAAAGCTCACGAGTAACAAACATTTTATCTACCACAACAATAGGAACAATTAAAAAAAAAACTTCGTGCTTTTATGAGCTTTACCAATGCACAAGCTCTGCCAACATAAGACTTGCGTGACACGCACACATACATACATATACACTTTAGGAGAGGAATGATGTACACAGGGGAAATGCGAACGTGAGCGGTAGAAGTGAAGTGAACGTGACCTTGTGTAAACACGGTGATTGGATGTGAAAGCGGAAAAAGAACGAGATTTGCGCGTCGATTTGTGCGCAGCAGTCATGAATAAAATAACTAAATGATAAATATTTTAAATTTAATTTTTTTGTATTTTTTTTTCCATTTTTTTATTTTTTACCACTCCTACTTAGCTTATGCTGCTTCTTTTTGTAATTATTTTCCAATTTCGTTTGATTTAGTTTATATATTTTTAAGCTTATAGATGACTGTAAAATAATTAAGTTGCTTCGTTTTTTTTATTATTAATTTTTTTTCTAATGCCCTACTTCCAACGAAATTTTGCAATATCCTTACTCACTATATTCCTTCAATGCATCTTGCCTTTAATTTGTTATCAATTATTTAATTTTTTTTTTAATTAAATGTAGTGCATAGTTTCATTTAAATGTAAAAAATTCAAACTGAGTGTAAAAAGTTTTTTTTTTTGTATTTATGGATAAGTCTTCAATTACTTTTGTGTCCATGTGTATATGGAGCACGAAAGGTTAAAACGAGACCGATGGCGAACTAGAGTTTAAACTGTACAGAAAAACTTCCCTGCTGGTTTTCTTTGAAGTTCGGTTTCTGTATATCTTAGATATCCCAATAACACTGTTCAGCGCCCATAAATATGCAATAATATGTAGCAATCACATATATGAAAATAGTATTAAAAGTATGTATGCACTTAAACGTTTTTATAAAGGTATACATACTTATGTAAGCATGTGCATTAGGGTGGAACGAAAAAAATTGTACGTTTCGAAATTCTAATAGCGGGGGCTTATTGCCCTTGAACGTCAATAACTATCGCTAAAAAAATTTTTAATTTTTTAATATTTTCTGCCTCCCTTCTTTGATTAAAATTTCAGATTTTTGCGAATTCTATGTAATCAAATAACATTTCTTATCAAAATCATTTTTAGAAATCCTCTAGGTGTCTAGTTTTGTGGGCCATTAAATGTTAGAACAATAAAGTACAAATTTGAAGCAGCTAAGACTTAAATTAGATTTAAGAAATTTTTTTTTTGTTGAAAGTGTTGCTCATTTTCTGCTTTGTATAAATCCATAAATCCAAAAAATCCCAAAAACGAGCAGCCACTTCAAACTTGCTTTTTATTATCTTATATTTATAGACCTATAAAACTGGTTACCTAAAATTTTTCTAAAAATGTTTTTGATAAATTACGTTATTTGCTTAGAATTCACAAAAACCTCAAAATTTCAATCAAAAAGGGGAGGCAGAAAGTATAAGCCGTTTTCAAAACATGTTTAGGCGTATTCTATTGACGTCCGAATGCAAAGATTCCCCGCTATTAAAACTTCCAAAAGCAAAATTTTTGTTTTCCGGTCCACCCTAATATGTACACTTAGGTGCACAAACATACACACATACACCTACAGAAAAAAACCAAATAGTTATAGACATGTTTTGTAATATATTTACATTGACTGTATGTACCTGGTGAGATGCTGAGCTAAACGTATCCCCAAATCCGGTACCATCGCCAAAAAAAAACACCAATAAACAGACAAAAAAATACTTATACTCAGAAACGTGTATACAGCTATAACACAGCAACAAAGCACCATGTTATTCTATATAAATATTTGCTTAAAATAAAAAAGAAAAACTTTGTAAAAAAACTAAAAAAATTGTAATAAATACATATATATTTGTAAAATAATTAAATTAATAAATAAATATAAATTTTTTTTAGTTAAAAGATTTACATCTTCGTTATGCACAGCTTATACATGCACTTTACGGTATTTTTTTTTTTGTTTTGAAACGTTCATGATATTTATAAATATTACATGTTATTACCTTACAATAAATACATAAATGTTGTTTACGCAACGCCCTATGTAAATATGAACCTTAAAGTACGCCAAGTTTCCAACTATAAAACTCTCCACTTTTGAGCGAAGGTAAGTAAATCAATGACGACCAAAACATAGCCCACTGGCAAAAGTTTTAAAATTTGTTTACCAATTTTATATAACTAGATCAGCGATGGGCAGAGAGAGCTTTTGCTCTTCACGCGCCTATACAAAATATATAGAAAGCTTAAAAGAGCTTTGCCCGCGCGCAAAGCAGTGCCATCACCGAACTAGATGCTTACGGGATAAAAGCTCCCTCTGATCGTCACTGAAGTATGTAAATCTGCGACGACCAGAGAGAGCTTTCAACTTGTGCGTGATAATATAAACTTATTATCCCGTGGGAGAAGCTTTTCAAAGCTTTCCGTAGATTTTATACGCCCGTGCCGTGGTTGAAAGCTCTCTATGATCGTCACTGAAGTAAAATATATCGGCCTTGGGCATTGCATTGCCCGCGGGCAAAGCACTTTTAAGCTTTCTATACATTTTGTATAGGCCTCGTGCAGAGTAAAAGCTCTTTCTGCCCATCGCTGAAATAGATTCAAAAGTATTTTTGTTAATTGCGCAAAAGCTCCTCAAATTTAGTTATCATGCATGTAAAAGAGTCATGCTGAAAACAACGCCCGCGGGCGGAACTCTTTAAAGCACTAATGGGCACCGCCTTGCCCGCGGGCAAAGCTCTTTTAAGCTTTCCATACATTTTGTATAGGCGCGTTTAGAGTAAAAGCTCTCTCTGCGCATCACTGCTTTAAAGCTATCTGTAGATTGGGCGCGCATAGAGTAAAAGCTCTCTCTGAGCATAACTGTTTTGCAAAAGCTTGAAATTTGCTAAATTAGCGCAAAAATGGCTTTCACGTGTAAACACTGCTTTAACGTGTATATAAGTGAAAGCTCAAGGTAATTCAATACAACTAAGCTGTTGCAAAAGAATTAAATATACAAATATCAAATCGAAAATGAAAAGTGAATTTTAAATGATTCATTGCTAAACGTTTATTTTTTCTCTCTCTCGCTCTCTCTCGCTCTCTCTCTTTTTCTCTCTTCCTCCCCTTTCATCTTTGCACAGGTCATGAACCCCTTGGATGCTATCTGCAACCGTAAACGCAACGATGCGGTTTGTGTCTCGAATTTGAAAAATGCCAAAGCTGTGGACAAAGGCGTGTTGGTCGAACGTCCTGATGTAAAAATTTTCCTACCATTTCGGTTCTTTGTTTACGATGTGAAGAATCTATTTATTGCCAATACTTACAACCGCTATTTAGGTAAGTTGTGGAAGTCCTTTCTCCCTAGTCCTTAAAATTTTGTAAAAAGGTAGCAATTTTTCTTTAGTAAATTTTAGTAAATTCAGCATGAATGCATTTAAATAGCTTTTCGCATGAATGGAAATTACGTATGTACATCCTACATATTTTGTGATCATCTTCAAGTGTATTACATTTGTATACAAAGTTGTTTGTTAAACAGATTTTATTTCACTTCATCCAACTCTATATACTTTCTTGTATTGTATTCCAAGCAATTAAAATTTGTATATTTATTATTTTAACTAGTCAAGTTTGTGTTCTACAAAGTAGAATATATTCATACTAGCGCTTTGTTAAGTGGTATACAAAAAGAATAGAAAAGTTACCACTTTCCCCTAATTTACTATTTTCTTGCATAGGAAATTGCCAGCCAGTAAAATTATGTGCATACATATGGTCCCAATTATCTAATTCTTTAACTTTATATGCGGTCTTTCTATTGGGCATTGTATTACAAATATTTTAAAGAAAAATTTGGAAATTAAAAGCACATATTTCAGTGTTAGAGAGATAATGGTCACTCTGTTTCCATATAAAATTTTTTTTAATGATACAACATTTCTTTTCATTTTACCGTTATTATACGAGACGAATTGTTTGTTTAGGTTTTGAATGATTCGATTTTAATAGATTCAGGACCGTTTTTTTTTTCAATTTTTAAGTTTTTAAAATTTATCTGCCCACACACACAAATTTTGTTCAGAAAAAATTAGTTTAAAGGGTAGATAAACTTAAGAGCTATTTGAGAAAACGGCACTCAATGTGTTAAGGCAGTGTCACACGGTTGGGCATTTGGCCAAAATTCAATGCAAATCATTTCCCAATCACGTAAATGCACGAATATTTTCTTTTATCCCTATCACGACAAAGAATTTGTTTAAAATTTTCAATAGGAGCTCGCTCGATTGTACCAATCGTGTGAGTACAAAAAAAAAATGTCGTCCCAATTTTTTTATTTTTTTACCAATTGCCCAAAGTAAAAAATGTACAAATTTGTACAAATATACCAATAGTGTGGCACGGCCTTTAGATAAAAACAGTGAAATATTTTTCTGTAAATGCAATGTAAACATATTGCAATCTGTACCGTTTTATTTAAGCCTTTAGATTGAGTTGAAAGTTGAATGTAGAAGTTTAAAAATACCGTATAGTGCACGTTTGACTTTTATATTGATTTTGTATTTGAAAAAGTTTTATGAATATTCGTTTCTGGCTAGACACGGTTTTACTTTCCAAATTATATATCAATTTTTCGCTTAGCCTTTGCATGCTACAAAGTAAAAACATGTAGTTAGTTAATTAGCTGCCAACGTGTTAAGAGTTTAAATATACTTTTGCATGGCTCATTTTTTCAGTGTATACATTAGGCATATGATTTTTTTTTAGTTAAGTATGCTTATGAGGGAGGATGCGGAGTGATGAAACCCCAACAAGAATGAGGTTTTTGTCACAATTAATTCACAAAGGTCATAACCAACAAATTTTTTGGTACTAATACTTTAAAATTTTTAATGACGGTCCTACCAAAATCTGTAAGAAACGCAGTTATGAAAAAAGTGTTGGTGAATTAAGGTGACGATATACTTATGTACATATTTTTGTATACAAAAAATTAGAATTAAAGACACTTTACCAATTTCCACCAAAAAATTCAAACTTTTTGTTGAGAATTTTTAGGTATTCAGGTCACTTTAACTTAGTTGGCTGAACACAAGGTTATGATTATTTTTTTTCAGTACAAATTGTTGTTTTTCTCGGAATTGCGAGAACTTTTTGTACCAAATTTTGATCAAAACCTATTTTTTTTTTGGTTTTTTCATCACGCCTCACCCACTCCTCATACGTATATTTAATTTTAAAAAGTCATATGCCTAATATACATACATACATATTTGTAAATAAATAATTTTTATTTATCGCAAACTCAATACAATCATTTAAAAACTTTCAGCTGAGTTTCTCTGTACGATGTCCGTCGATTGCTACGCGCTCCAAGAAAAATGCGAAATAAATGAAATTAAATTTTCATTTTCGCAAGAAAACAAGATCGCCCCATTTACTAACTTAAAACTAAACACTTATAAATATACATACATATGTAAACCAAGCAAACCAAAATCATCCTATGTAAATTACAGTTGCTCCCAGCGGTGACCATCTCATATCGCTGATCGATGAAATCACCTACGCCTCACCACCGGCGCCGCTGCTCTCACAAATGAACGACGTCTCACCGGAACTCTTCTGCAATGGCGACAATCGGCCGGCAAATTGTGCCAATAACTGTCAGTGCGTACATAAAGTAGACATACCACTTGGCGCTGTCGTCGAAGTGGTGCTTGTGGATGAAGTACAGCAAACTAATCTCAGTCATCCATTTCATTTACATGGTTCACCCTATTACGTTGTCGGTCTGGGACGTTCACCGGATCAAAATATAAAGAAGATTAATCTAAAACATGCTTTGGATTTGGATCGCTTGGGTATGCTAGAGCGTGATTTCACCAAACCGACACTCAAGGACACCATTGCCGTGCCAAATAACGGTTATGTAATTCTACGATTTCGTGCCAGCAATCCCGGCTTTTGGCTCTTCCATTGTCATTTCCTCTTCCATGTAGCGATTGGCATGAATTTAATATTTCATATAGGCACACAAGATGATTTGCCACCAGTACCGCCGAATTTTCCACGTTGCGGCGATCACTTGCCACCCATACAGTACTTTTGAGTGGCCAAGTTTTGGGTCAGTAGAGGAGTAGTTAGCAAAGTAGCTATGCGTGAGCTGCGTAAATGGCATAAGGAGCCACTAAAGCGTCGAGTTGTGCCAGTCTACTACTTTTGTTGGTTATTATTGTAAATAGCAAAATTTTCGCCGGAACCACAACAAAAGTCTATACCTACATGCATACATACGCGTACATACAAACATATATGTACATATGTATGTACTTGCAAGCGTTATTCTTTCATGTGCTTATTCTTAATTTTATTTGTTTATGCATTATATTATATTTATGTAGAAAAAAAAATGCTGCTATGTACTGCTATTTCATTTCATTTTTATTACTCAAAATTAGCAATGTTCATAATTTGTATACACTTAGCATAATCACACGCTCTTACTGTGTATGTATTTGTAGTCAGATTATGTATAATTCTTTGTAGCGAAATATTTTTATTTCTCTCTGTGTATGTACTATGTATATTTAATGTACGATATTTGTATTTGTATTTGTATTACCTAGAGTCACAGCAACTGACTTTTCTGTAGTGATACATACTTGTAATTAATTACTAAATTATTTTTAATTTTTTATTTAAATACATATAAATAATAAATTTTGGCTTACTAACTTAAAAAAAAAAAATACGCAAGGCCGTTACATTCGGTAAGTTAAAGCTTCTTTTCAAACTGTATACCACGCAATAGTACTCTCCAAATACGTTAGCATGCAACAATGTACGATTTTTAATTAGAAAAATTTGTAGCCCCTACTTTCACCTTGTTCAAAATTCAAAGAAATAAAAACGAGAAAAAATAAATTACACATTCCAAACAAAAAATTGAAGCTGCCTCCCCCTAAGTTGAGAGATAAAAATAAATCTATTAATATATTTCAGGGACCGAAAATAACCATTATATACCAAGATTTTTAATTAAGATCATTGCAAATCGGTATTTTATTATTTTTATTTTTTAACTAAAAAATAATCGTTAAATTTTGACTTTTATTTTTCGATCAACACCAATCTTTATTTTTGGATTTTTACTTTTTCGGTTATTTTTAATCGTTATAATGTAGACCGCTTTTAATGCTTTAAGCTCAGAAAAACTGAGTACGAATTTAATGCTATGGCATGATCGATATAAAAATCATAAAATAATGATTAAATTTAATTATAAGTCCATATTGAACGGTGCCGATGCGGTGCCTGAAATATATATGTACATTAGAGTGGTCCTAAAAACCGCTAGGATTGTTCTGTACCGAAAAAAATATACCCCTGTTCCTTTATCTTAAATAAAAAAATATTTGGAGGCCCCCAAAGCGCTCAAAGTTTTGGATGGATCGATGTCTCTGGAAGCATACAAGAAAGAAAGTTGCAGCAATTAATTTTTTTTTTAATTTTGTTGTATTTCACATGGCAAACTTTGTTGTAAAAAAAATCTTAAGACTTTTTTGACACTTTAGAGATCAGAAGCAACAACACAATACACGTAAATGTTGTTTTGCTGAAATGCATACTACATATGTAGCTGTGTGCCTTGAAAGAAACCCATTTTACGTGGAAATGGTTTAGAATTCTTGATTATCAATATTTTTCACCCTTAAAACTCTATTTTTCTTCAGGAGACTTTCAGTAATTATTTATTTTACAATTTTTAAAATCCAGCAATTTTTTAAAGGTGCCCCATTGCATTTCTTTGCGTTTTAAACGACCTATACAAAATAGGTATTATTGAAAGTCTCCTGAAGAAAAGTTTTCCGATCGAAAAATATTGATTTTCAATAATTGAATACCATTGCTACGAAAAATTTTGTATTTTCCCTTCACATGAAATACATGGAAAACTTTTGAGCGCTTTGAGCGATCTCTAAATATTTTATGGTTTCAAAATGAAAAAAAACAGGGATGTAATGTTTTCGGTATAGAACAATCCTAGCGGGTGAGTGCATTAAAATTACGACTTTTACTATTTTTTGCCACACTAATATACATACAGGCTATAGTTCCGTACTTCAGGATTCAGTCACAAATAGACCGACGTAGTCCGGATGATAGTACTGAAGATAATATAAATGTGTGTACGGGAATGCCTTCCGACTATTTCCGCTTAAAGCCTGGAGTACGTGAATAGGCTAATAAACTCTCGAAAATCGCAAAGCATTTAAATTCAATAGCAAAATCATGAATCTTATAGCGTTTTCTTTTCTCGAAATAATGTTGCTTTAGTTCTGCCCTGCGCCACGGCTGTCAAGTTTTCGTGTTCTTTTCTCAGCATCGTCATATGCATATTGCGCGCTCTTTCTTTAAAGTGTCAAGAAAAGAAAACGCCATTACTTTCAACTTCGGCGAAGGCACGTTTCGACATACAACTTTATTTCCCACTCGCACACACACACACACATACACACCCCGATAGCCGTTTAATTTCCATTTTACTAATCGCCTGCCATTATTCACATTACAGTCGCTTCGGATGCCGATCACTTGATATCGCTTATCGATGAGATCTCCTATGTATCACCGCCATCTACAATACTCTCTCAATACGATGACATACCACCAGAATTGTTTTGCAATAGCGACAACCGTCCCGCCAAATGCGGTGAAAATTGTGAATGCGTACACAAAGTCGATATACCGCTTGGTGCTGTTGTAGAAGTTGTGCTGGTCGACGAAGTGCAGCAGATAAATATTAGTCATCCATTCCATTTGCATGGCACCTCATTCGTGGTATTGGGCATGGGCCGTTCGCCCGATATGCAGTTACAACGTATGAATCTACAGCACGCATTGGAGTTGGATAAGCGTGGCCTGTTGGAACGTCGCTTTCTCAAGCCAGCGCTGAAGGATACTGTAGCCGTGCCGAATAATGGCTATGCAGTGTTGCGGTTTCGTGCTGACAATCCCGGTGTTTGGTTGTTCCATTGTCATTTCCAATTTCACATTGTCATCGGCATGAATATGTTGTTCCAAGTTGGCACGCCCGCAGACTGGCCGCCAGTTCCGGTTAGCTTTCCACGTTGCGGTAATCATATGCCACCTATCACTATGTGGTAGCGAGGTGAACGATATGCGAATTTGTAAAAATTTCTAGTTTTATTTTCAAGTGATTTATCAGAAATTTATGGATTTGAAATTTTAGGGTTCTTGTTATACATAAATACATATGTATTGATTTCCGTTTGTATTTTTTACTGTTTGATTTCCAAATATTTTTATTTCCGAATAAAAATATATTTGGTTTGAAGGATAGTTATTATTACTAAATGTAATGTGTGGTACAAAGAATGTGGAATTTGGTAATGTTTATTAATTATGTAAGAATAACACCTACTATACTTAGTCATAAAGCTATAAATGTTGATTGAGATTTGAATAAATTTAAATTAAAGTATATATGTACAAGAAATTGTGTATTAATTTAACAGAATATTTAGGTGAGTATAGTTAATAGTCGTATACCCAAATTCATGAAAGATATTGAAGATCTTACTTTATAGAGCTCTTAAAACCTATTTTATTTTTTATGAACAAGGACTCGTACTCTTTCATTAAAGAATGAAATGCATTTTCGCTGCAAAATCTGAAACTTACATAATTTTTTTTTTTTTAATTTCCGTCAAATTTTTTTTACAACTTCATAAGGCAAAACTGTCTTTAGTTTCTAACTTTAATAGAATATCTTGTCAAACAAAAAGAACCATCCGGATCGGTTAAATTAAACTAAGTGCGTGTGGTCGCAACGCGTTAAAAAAGTGAAGCCGAATAGAGAAAAATCCAGAAACAAAGTCTTCTACTTCTTAATTGGCGCTGTTACCTGTACCTGAGCAGACTAGATGCGGATGTGCCCAATGAGTGTCCGGCATGCGAAGAGACTCCCCACGACTCGAAACAACTCTTCGCATGCCCACAAAACTCCACTCAACTGACGCCTCTGTCCCTATGGACAGACCCTATAGAGGCTGCCCGCTTCTTGGGTCTCCCGTTAGTTGAGCTTGACGACGACGACTGAGCGACTAGCCGATCTGGGGGGCCGCTACAACAACAACAACAACTAATTTGCTTTCATTCCCACGACAGTTTGGTCTACGTAAATGGAACGAGCCAGATTCATATCTGGCCAAGGACTGTTACTCCAGCGTCATTCACCAAAAACTTTTTGAGGAATTTATATGTAACATCATACAACAACTAACTAGGCATTTTCTTCCATATAAAAAGAACTTCTGAGCATTGTCGAGCATACTTTATATGGAAGAAAATGCACAGCACCGTCAGCTAGAAAAATTATTACAAGTTCGGCGTGATTGAAACTTACACTTTATCCTTCTAAAATTTAATAGGCTATAAAATTTCATAAAAATTCTTCCACAATTTCTAAATAAAAAGTTTGAAATTTTTGGGCATATTGGTAAAGTTTGTTGTCTTTATAATTTTTGCACAAAGTTTGAATTGTGGATTTATATGGTTCTTGTTAAATAATATACCAGACTTTCATAAAAAAAAATATTAAACATCGAATAAAGAAAATAAAAAATATCAACAAGTCTAGTAAAAAAAGTCTCTATTAATTTTTTTACCACTGTATATATCGCACGAAAAACGCAATCTAAGTTTGATCAACTCATATAGTTGGTATACAAAAGGCCAGATGGCACGACCCACATCTTCGCTATTTTTTGGAAGTTTAGTCATCTGAACATAATATCCATATCAAACTTATTGATTGTATGAAATCTCCAACAACGAATCTGAATTTTGAATTTTGATCTTCTCAATATTAATAATACGTGCGATACGTTCCTCAAACATTTAGAAATATTCCATCCACTTGGAATTTTGTTGAGGATACTTTACATTCCATATGTTAATGAGGAGCAGAGCTGTAAAATGTTTGAATGTGATCGACTGGTCACACTGGTATTGACTCACATTGTTTTTTTTTTTATCGGCTCCTTATTTCTCACATCGGTTAGAAAATACGTATAAACGCATCGTTCATCTAACGCGAAGTCAAAATGGGATTGTTTTCTTAATATAGTTT